ATAATAGACTTAATATTCACACTATGAACTAATCAGCAATATTCCATCGTTTACATAATGTTATGTGAGCTAAAAGGCCCATAAACTTTTACTGCTTTGACGTAATCAAAATAAAACTTTGTACATGTCGGGTCAGAGTTGAATATTCTATGCATAAATTAATTAATACATTTTAAGAGCTTTAGCAAAATGGACGATCAGCTAATGAAAGTAGTAACAGTATGTAATTATTACATAAATGATTGCGCGTGAGCATAATAATAATGAATGTCTAGGGCGAGGTAAAATTGGAGAATTTAAAATGTATTAAAAGCATCGATTAATATTTGGAATGCGAAAGTTTGTGAGAATGTATATTATGTATTATTAATTTACTCACCTTTACATAGAAAACAAAGTCACTCACTATCGGTGCGCATAGATCTTTTAAACTGCGCAACGAATTTTCATGCAATTTGAGTGATTCAAGAAGAAGGTTTATTTCTATAATACCTACATACATTGCACCCATGCGAAGCCGGGCGAGTTGCTAGTCTACGAATACACACTAAACAAATGTTGATAAAACTGCACTTTATTATATTACTTGAGACTTATAGATTAGTTATCTTTAACCGGAATAGCTTTATCTGAGAAGACCTCAGGTTAATTGCTTAATAAGGCGATGCGTCACAAAGACCAAAGAAGTGTGGGAGGTGGTGGGAACCATCTCATAACCTGTACCATACATCTGGGGGCACGGCAGTGCCCCCGCCAAGTCGAGCGCGAAGCAAACACTGCCGTACCATCCTTTACTGGAACCATTTCGCCGCATTTACAGGCCCATATTTGAGAACCTCTGGCTAAGACCAGAACGCAGAAATTTTCGTCATCTAGTTAGCTATAATCACATACTTAAAATCCAAAATTTCAAGTCTGTAGGTCATTTACTTCCGAAGTTAAGCGAAAGCAAAGTTTCGCATTTATGACACTCACTCACTGATGATCATCAAAATAGAACTAGTACTTCCCATAAACTCAGAGAGCTGAAATTTGGTACAGAGTTAGGGTTTAATGGCCACATAAAGGGAAAACTATAAAAACTAGGAAAATCGAAGATCTAGAGTAACACCACATTCATAATCAATACTACTAGCGCCACACCGGCACCGTGGTGTTCGCCTGTACCGCTCACCGCTAGATGGCGCTAGCACTTTGAGAGTCGATTTTCTGCACCGCGGTGTCCAGATTTTTTTTCCTTTCTAGACCCCCCCGTCGATTAAGTTGAATGTTGTGTAATTTGAATTTGGTCGATTTCGTTAATTATATCGTGAGGTTCGCTAAGGTTAAGTTATTAATAAAACAATAATTCTGATTCGTTGTCCATTTTAAAGGTCGCTATGTTTAATATCGTAAAAAAAAATGTCGATAATATTAAAGGACGACGACGTTAAATAATAATAATGTGCCACATTCTACAAAAAGAAGTGAAANATAATAATAATAAATACACTTTATTGCACACCAAACAAATAACATAACAGAAGAAAAGGAACACACAAGGTACAATTAGGCGTTCTTATCGCTATGAAGCGATCTCTTCCAGACAACCTATGGTGAGGATAGCTACTTGAAACAAATATGAAGGGGAAGGCGGTGTCGACACTAAAGAAATAAATTATAATAAAAGGCATACAATTTAAACCAAAATAATACATACAAATAATACACAAAATATATTAATATATATATATACATATATAAATTATAATATATACTAATTTATATTAATTTTTATGCTGTAATAATGTTCTGATGGCAAAAGGTAAAACAGCGCAACCTTTTTCGCATCGGATTCACGATTCGTAAAAACATTTATTCAGTTCCAAGTCCTCGTTGATTATGTTTAACAATCTAGAAATATTATACGCCATAAAAACTTAATTCTATTACTTATTAAAAATAAACTATTATTTCAAGTGTCAAAATGTCAAACTTCATAGAATGGAACCTCAGTGACCATCTATGGTAGCCTGTAAGATGCATTGGCCCATAAAATCGCACAGCCATTATGCACTTGCCTGTACGGGCATGACTTATTGTTGCCATTAAACCCGCCATGTGCTTCTGCCGTGAGAATCATATTGCAAAGTGATAGATAGATGACATACGTGATTTATTGAAAGTACAGTCAACACACCAAACTACACATTTTGTTGCAAAATAACTCTTATTACAATAACATAAAATGTCACAGTGCTTAAATTGAACTTCTGTTGTCTGTAAAATTTTAATTTGTCGTAAGTTAAGTAGGTAACATAAATTCCCGAAAAGAAGCGAAAAATTCACGAAGATAGCGCGCATAAAAATGTGTGCGTTTACGAATGTTGTTAGATATTCTAAATTCAAATTCAAATAACAGAACTTGGCTGTACCTATCTTTTATGCCTTTGCGTTCAAGATAAGTAAAAATTTATGTGTGCGTTTTCGAATGTAGTTAGATGTTCTAAATTCAAATTCTTTTATGCCCTTGCGTTTCCCCAAGATAAGTAAAAAAAGAAAAAAAAAACTATACGGCCATGTTTCTTTTCAAAGAATATTATTTTTGACTTTTGTTTTGAAGTTCCAAATTCAAATTGCCTATCAAATAGCAAAGTACCAGCAATGGGTGCCATCTCTAGCCGCGCGCTCCTACAGCCTTGAAGCTCACCGCCACATACCGGCACGTCTCCAAGTCGGCCTGGTTTACACAATATTTTAAAGTATAGAATGTAGAAAAATAAAGAGACAATGTTAACAAAACTTAGGAACAGATTTTAATGTAAAATGTTGCTAAGACGAACCGTATGGCTTGCACTGTGAAAAAGTTATCAGAACCCGTAGAGTCAAACTTCTAACTCTACAACTTAGTCAAAATATGTGTGACATGAGCGTTTCATTACTACAAGTACGTGTACTACCTATTAAGTATTAAAAAGCTCTCTAGGCTGATGAATGTATAGTAGGTACGGCAATACAACTCCGGCTTACAAAATAATTTATAAAACTATAAGTAGGTACTTACTTATTTAACACTTAGCAGTTAATAATTTGAACCACAACTCAAAAAGGTATTAAAGAAAGAACCTTCACACACAAATAAATATGCAAAATATCTCACAATAATAGACTTAATATCCACACTATGAACTAATCAGCCATATTCCATCGTTTACATAATGTTATGTGAGCTAAAAGGCCCATAAACTTTTACTACTTTGACGTAATCGAAATAAAACTTTGTACATGTCGGGTCAGAGTTGAATATTCTATGGATAATTAATTAATACATTTTAAGAGCTTTAGCAAAATGGACGATCAGTTAATGAAAGTAGTAAGTGTTAATATTACATAAATGGTTGCGCGTGAGCATATTATGAATGTCCAGGGCGAGGTAAAATTGGAGAATTTAAAAATTATTAAAAGCATCGATTAATATTTGGAATGCGAAAGTTTGTGAGAATGTGTAGATGGATGTTTGTTACTCATCTTAGGCTGAATTGCACCATCTAACTTTAACGGTACGATAACTGTACCTCTAGTAGGAAAAACTTTCGAGTTCGTTTCGTTGCGTATTCAAAGTGTCATCGAAAAATTTTGAATGAAAAATTAAACAGCGCCCCCTATATCATAGCCGCCCTAGGGGGCGCTGTTTAATTTTTCATACAAAATTTTTCGATGACACTTTGAATACGCAACGAAACGAACTCGAAAGTTTTTCCTACTAGAGGTACTGGTGTTTTTTGTATGGAGTAGGTATTACAGATTTTTGACGTTTGTCAAAGTTAAAGTAAGATAGTGCAACCCAGCCTTAATAGATAAAACAAAGTTAATCTCGCACTCGGTCTCGTCTTTTAAATTGCGCAACGGATTTTCATGCAGTTTTCAATAATACGAGTACGAGTGGAAGGATTCAAGAGGACGGTTTATTTCTATAAAAATACATTGCACTCATACGAAGCCGGCGCGGGTAAACTACTACACAAATGTTGTTACATAGATTAGAGTTTTTCAGTTTGTCTTAAACCGGAATGGCTCTAACTGTTAACACCTCAGGTTAATTACTTAATAAGGCGATGCGTCACAAAGACCAAAGATGTGTGGTGGGAACCATCTCATAACCTGCACCATACATGGCATTACAGTAATAAATTAGAAACGATTAGCTAAACTATGAACTAAATACCAAAACCAATAGAATAGACAGTAATATTTTAACATCGTATTGACCGCGACTCTCTCTTCTGAATTTAGATATTTTTCCTTGCCTCACTCTTTCTTTCTCTCTCTTTCTTTAGGGGTATTTTTATGAGTGCTAATGAAATACTATTTCAAATACCTGTAACATTTTACTAATAATGTTGTCATTCCCCAGTTAAGTTGTAACTATTTTGTCATCGAACAATATAGAGTATGTTTCAAATTCACAAGGCCCACAGAATATAAAGTGCGTGTGAGTGGAAAAAAATCCCATTGTCTGCACCTAGAACAATAAATTATAGATATCATTAATTACCCCGTTGCCCCGATATGGGGGAAGATAAACTTGTTACTAAATCTGAACTAATTGATATGTTGTTGTGTGAAGTTCAATTAAATTACGACCGTGAATAATGGCTGGATTTAACTATGACGTAAATAATTATAGGGTGCCAAGAAAACAAGAAATACTTACATAAATCTATTTTAAGAACACTTTTTGGTAATATTATTTTACTAACCTTGAGTTATTTTTGTCGTAAATATAAAAAGATTTGTTGTAGAAGTAGAAATAGCTTTATTGAAACCTAAATTAGCATTAATTCACAGTACTTATTCACTTGACTATTATTACGTAGAGCTATCTAACTCTATGCATAGCTCTATGTAAGCGCTAACAAATAACAAATCAAAGTACTTACTAAAATTATGCCACACATACAATTTCTCTAACTCCTAACTCAGTTCCAAACCATTGTCTCATACTCCGTTTTCCTCTGTAGCTGTCGCTAGCTACAGCTGTTTCAGATGACATCAACACGCTCACAGCTGCTGAGCTGAACCTCCAGCTCTCAGGAGAGAATGCCCTCTCTCCTTTCTTCTCCTACGAGAGCGATGAGGAGGCAGGAGTCACCTTCGTGAGGGGAGCCAGGGCGGCCAGCGCCCTTGCCCCGGAGATCGAGGTTCAATGTTCTGGAGACTTCATCGACGTGACGGTGGAGTTCCAAGACATTTACGATGGCATCATCTACAGCAAAGGATTCTTGAGTGACCCGAAGTGCAAGTAAGTTGAGCTGTGTGTCTTGGCGCAGACCACCGATTTTTTGTCGGCCGATAGTTTAGTCGGGCTCGGGCAGTTAATCAGTACAAGCATGTATGGGAGTGCGCACATTGAATCGGCCGATTCTTCATACAAATTAAAATCGGGCCCAATTACTATCGACTAACTAAAAATCGGTGGTCTGCGACTATGCTAAAAGAAACTACTCTCTTCTTTTATTATACCAGAAGTTGCTTGAATGCTCCTTCTTGAATGATCTTCTTTAAGTTGTGTTGTGCCCATTTGGTATTCTAGACATTAGAGTCGAAACTTGATCATTTTGTTTGAAAACTTGAATACACTTAAAATGAATACAATTCGAAATGAAATTTTGAAACTTAAACTTTCTGCTTGTGACTACGGCTACAGCCAGATTATCAAGCTGTAAATTCTCATGAATGTATTACCAAATAAATATCGCAAGATTCGTTTCAAATGAAAACGGAATTCTTTGTATTTACATCATTATGATAGCCTTTAACCCTTACCGCTATTTCTTTTGTCATCTTCTACATGAACTTCGTACCTTTCCAGATATGTTTCACTCGGTGGAAGCCAGTCCCGGTACTCCTTCAGGGTGCCACTAAACGGCTGCGGGTCGCGCCCCCTCTGCAACGCTTGTGGGACCATCGACAATGTGCTAGTCTTCCAGGCTGATGACTTCGTGCAGGGTCCCTTGGACTTCGCCAGAAAGGTACTTTTTAAGAGCATTTGAAAAAGGCAAAGGCGTTGCTGTTGCGAATGTCTGTTCTGAATCTGTTCTGTTCGAATCTGTTTACCACCATGTTGGCCAATTTGAGCCGCCTTCTAGCTAAGTATTATGAAAACAGTAAGTTAGTAAGCAGTAAGTTACTTCCACCAAAAGTTATTTAAATACGCTATTGAGTTCAGTCTAGTCTAGTCTATAAAGCCCTTTCAAAAGAAGATTATTCTAGAGTTAAAAAGAAGACACAATAATTTATTAATAATTTGATTTGATAAATAGTGCCAGCAACGTTTAAAAATATACATAGAGAAATCTATCCAGAATCTCCACTGTCCACGCAATATGATTTCCCATTTTTCCTTTGGGACAGAATAAATGTGTCGTGCCTTTTCTAATTAAATAAGATCCATCTAAAGATTTTAAGAGCTTGCGATTAGCAACAACTAAGTATACAGACTTCCTGCATTATTTACTCAATAACTTTATTGTGCATATCTTTTAAGATTCTCACAATGATTACAATTTGAAATAGTTGCTGACATTATTTTGTAATAGGACAGAAAGTGTAGATCTTGCCCATTAGACGGATGGAAGGTCAAGAAGTTACGACACCAGTGTCATCGTGGATTGGTGTTTGGGGGACACGAATAATCAAGTTTATTATGATTAGTTCGGTAGTACTAGTGCACATGTTATGTTGACACAAAGTTACTAATAAAGGTGATTTCGTTGTAACTTTTTCTGTCTCTTTCGCCAGCATTATAGGTACTTAATTCTGTCAAGAGCGAGAAAAGTGATTATAGACAATATAAATAAAGTCCTTAAATGCTTCTACAACTTACTTAAATAATAATAATCTTATTACCCGACTGCCCCAGAAAGAGGGTCATGTTTTTCGATGCATCTCTTCGCTGCGCGTAATTTAAGTATACACATACAATGCGCATTAAATAAATAATCCGAAAAAATTGCATATAAAATTAATGTCACGGAACATCTTTAAGTTGCTAACCAAGGTCAGACAGGATAGACAGATATTATGTATTACCTACTTGTAATTTGTATATTTCGAGATTTATTAAGGTAAACCACATGTAGTCCTGGCCTTAGCGATGTATAAGGTGCAATGAACTTGAGTAAATAATACTATATTTAATAAAAATACACAGATAGTTGCCTGCTGTTTTTGTTATACTTTAATTTTTCAAAGGTTCAATTTAAAGTTTCAAGGTATTTACTAGTATTAGCTACCATGATTATTTTCAAAACCTATGCAAAAAAAGTGCCTTTTAGACCTGTAACATTCAACGTTTTAATGATTCGATAGGTATTTCTTTTGTGGATCTATTATTGACATGTTTTAACATTCCATACCTCTTCTCCCAGGTATCATGCGCCAGGACTTCCCTCGAGGTATCCACGGGCGTGGGCAGACGCGAGGAGTCCCACACCCTCAAGCTGAAGCCCTTCATGGTGGACATGTTAGAAGTGGTTGCTGTGGAAGGACCGGCCGGAGGCGTTGAGTGCTGGATGGACATTCAGAAGGGTGTCTTCCCCAATGTAAGTATTTACTGGACTATTCTCACCTCTCGTTCCCACCGCTGCAACTCCTGTGTAGCAAGGATCTACAGCTTGACCGCCAATAAAAACCTAACCAGTGAAGGTCAAGTTTGTCCGGGAGGAAAGTAAAACTGTCATTGGATCCGGAACAAAACTAATGAATTAGAAAACGTAGGTGGAGTTCGAAGATAATTTCGACTTCTATCTATTGCAAAACAAATATTTAGCAACCTTTAAGCAAAGATGCCCATCCATCATTATTGTCGTTATTCTTAACTGCAAGAATTAGACCCTCTCCAATTTTACCAGATGCGAATGGAGTATTTGGCCTACACACATCACCCAGGCCATTTTATAGACGAGTAGAAGGAACATTTTACACTCCTTAATAATTATTAATATTCGTGACAGCTGCTGCAGCATAGATTCACCATTACAGACCTATCTGATCCTGCAATGAAACATAAATAACAACAGCCTTCTTAATTATGAAAATACTTATTCGTCCGGTGACTTTAACCCTTTCTTCTTCGTTGCAGACTTCTCCACTGACTGGCTCTATCAAGATTGGAGAGTTCCTGACCATCCTGGTGTACCTGAAGGATTCGAGGAAACAGTTCAACCTGAAGATCCACGACTGCTGGGCGTACGACAGCGAGAATTATGACAGCCCTAGCACTAACAAGATCCAGCTGACTGACAAAGAAGGATGCCCCCAGTAAGTTGAGAAAAAACTGTTACTCTGGTTCTTCAGATCCTCGTTGTCCAAAATGGACTACACCAGCACCATCGAATTGCTATCCTGGATCCACTGATCCTCGTTGCAAAATCAACTATTCCTGCACCGCCTAACCTAAATTCGAGAGACCGTTTTGACGCATGCTGCTAAATATCTTTACATACGGAGTCCATACTCGTTGCATAGTTCTTTTACAATTTTATTCTTAATTTGGATCTTTGGTTTATACCAGCAACAGCAAAATACGAGAAATCAAACCTACTAGTAACTCATCTATTTCTTCCAAGTAAAGAGTCACTAGTTATTGTGACTTGTAAATGTTAAAAAATTCCAGGAAAAAGAAGCTCATCGACTTCTGGCAGAAGTCAACCAACACGGGAAAGAGTGGCGCTACGTTGATTGCATACAGCAAAGTCAGCGCTTTCCGCTTCCCAGAGACTGATCAAGTGTACCTGACTTGTAACGTTGAGGTAAGCATTTACTTACATATATACTAAAACTTCTTGTGGCGGATACCATAATTTCTGCTATTTATACCGTGCTTCACTTTGATAGATTACTAAAGGCATTTAACTCTTTTTCAGTTATGTACAAATAACTGCGAAGCGAACTGCGGAACGACACAAGAGATAACGACAACATTCAGACCTAGGTGTTACCCAGGCTCAACAGACCCCAGCTGTGGGGGAGTCACAGCGCCACCACAGATTAAGTGCTACCCAGGATCTACCGACCCCAGGTGCCCGAGCGTGACAGCACCGCCTACAGCGCCTAACTGCTACCCAGGCAGTACCGACCCTCGCTGTCCACGACCCACCACCCCTTCAGCTCCCAACTGCTATCCAGGAAACACCGACCCACGCTGCCCTAGGCCTACCACGCCATCCGTACCGAACTGCTACCCTGGCAGTAATGATCCTCGCTGCCCACGGCCTACAACATCGGCTCCTAGCTGCTACCCGGGCAGCACTGACCCACGTTGTCCTCAGCCCACGACACAAGCACAGCCCAACTGCTATCCTGGCAGCACGGATCCACGATGCCCTAAACCTACGACACCTGCACCGCCTAGGTGTTTCCCGGGCAGTAACGATCCTAGATGCCCATCACCCACTACATCTGGCCCAAGCTGTTACCCAGGGAGCACAGATCCTCGTTGCCCGAGACCTACGACACCTAAACCAGTCTGCTACCCAGGATCTCCGGACCCAAGCTGTCCTCAGCCGACACGTCAAACAACATTAACACCACCAACATATTTACCACCATCAACAGCAGCTCCGTCTTGTTACCCTGGTAGCACTGATCCTCGGTGCCCCAAACCAACTACGCCTGCGGCTCCTAACTGTTACCCTGGCAGCACAGATCCTCGTTGTCCTAAGCCGACAACGCCAGCACCACCTAACTGCTATCCTGGATCTACGGATCCTCGTTGCCCCAAACCAACGACACCTTCAGCGCCTAACTGCTACCCTGGTAGCAGTGATCCTCGTTGCCCCAAACCAACGACACCGTCAGCGCCTAACTGCTACCCTGGCAGCACGGACCCACGTTGTCCTAAACCTACTACGCCAGCACCACCTAACTGCTACCCTGGATCTACGGATCCTCGTTGCCCCAAACCAACTACGCCTGCGCCTCCTAACTGCTACCCTGGTAGCACTGATCCTCGTTGCCCCAAACCAACAACACCTTCAGCGCCTAACTGCTACCCTGGCAGCACGGACCCACGTTGTCCTAAACCTACTACGCCAGCACCACCTAACTGCTATCCTGGATCCACAGATCCTCGTTGCCCCAAACCTACTACGCCTGCGCCTCCTAACTGCTACCCTGGTAGCAGTGATCCTCGTTGCCCCAAACCAACGACACCTTCAGCGCCTAACTGCTACCCTGGCAGCACGGATCCTCGTTGCCCTAAACCAACTACGCCTGCGCCTCCTAACTGCTATCCTGGTAGCAGTGATCCTCGTTGCCCCAAACCAACGACACCTTCAGCGCCTAACTGCTACCCTGGCAGCACGGACCCACGTTGTCCTAAACCTACTACGCCAGCACCACCTAACTGCTACCCTGGATCTACGGATCCTCGTTGCCCCAAACCAACTACGCCTGCTGCTCCTAAATGCTACCCTGGTAGCACAGACCCACGGTGTCCACGACCAACCTCGCCTAAACCAGTCTGCTATCCTGGCTCACCAGACCCCAGCTGCCCTCAACCACCTCGCCCAACAACGCTTACCCCTCCTACATATTTACCACCTTCCACTACGCCTGAAGCACCTAAATGCTACCCAGGCAGCACTGATGCACGATGCCCGAGACCAACTACACCAGCTCCACCAAGATGCTACCCTGGAAGTACAGATCCTCGCTGCCCTCGACCAACAACACCTGAAGCTCCTAAATGCTACCCAGGTAGCACTGATGCTCGTTGTCCAAGACCAACAACACCTGCACCTCCGAACTGCTACCCTGGAAGCAATGATCCACGGTGTCCGAAACCAACTACGCCGTCAGCTCCTAACTGCTACCCTGGATCTACTGATCCTCGGTGCCCAAAACCAACTACGCCTGCACCACCTAACTGTTACCCCGGTTCTTCGGATCCTCGTTGTCCTAAACCAACTACGCCGTCCGCTCCTAACTGCTACCCCGGATCTACTGATCCTCGGTGCCCCAAACCAACTACGCCTGCACCACCTAACTGTTACCCCGGTTCTTCAGATCCTCGTTGTCCTAAACCAACTACACCAGCACCACCGAATTGCTATCCTGGATCCACTGATCCTCGTTGCCCTAAACCAACTACTCCTGCACCGCCTAATTGTTACCCTGGCAGCACAGACCCACGCTGCCCTAAACCAACGACACCTGCGCCACCTAGATGCTTCCCAGGATCGAATGACCCACGGTGTCCTAAACCAACTACACCATCACAACCTAATTGCTATCCAGGTAGCACCGATCCTAGGTGTCCAAAGCCAACTACGCCTGCCCCACCAAATTGCTACCCTGGCAGCACTGATGCACGTTGTCCTAAACCAACAAGTCCTAAACCAGTCTGCTATCCAGGATCACCTGACCCAAGCTGTCCTCAACCACCAAGGCCAACTACCTTAACACCTCCTACTTACTTGCCTCCATCCACAGCTACACCAAAATGCTACCCTGGTAGTACTGACCCTCGGTGTCCAAAGCCCACTACACCAGCCCCACCGAACTGCTATCCTGGAAGCAACGATCCTCGTTGCCCTAAGCCTACAACTCCTGCCCCGCCAAGGTGCTTCCCAGGCAGTACCGACCCTCGTTGCCCGAAACCTACCACACCAGCAGCTCCAAACTGCTACCCTGGATCCACAGATCCTCGTTGCCCTAAACCAACTACTCCTGCACCACCAAATTGTTACCCAGGAAATACAGACCCAAGATGCCCTAAGCCTACTACGCCAGCACCACCTAACTGTTACCCCGGTAGCAATGATCCTCGTTGCCCTAAACCTACAACTCCAGCGCCACCTAGATGCTTCCCTGGCAGCACGGACCCTCGCTGCCCACAGCCAACGACCCCGGCCCCACCTAGGTGCTTCCCTGGCAGCACGGATCCTCGCTGCCCTCAACCTACTACACCAGCCCCGCCTAGATGCTACCCTGGCAGCAACGACCCACGATGCCCTAAGCCAACGACACCGGCTCCACCAAATTGCTACCCTGGCAATAATGATCCTCGTTGTCCAAAACCTACTACTCCGGCACCGCCAAACTGTTACCCCGGAAACACAGACCCACGTTGCCCTAAACCCACTACACCTCAACCTTTGAAATGCTATCCAGGTAGCACAGACTCTAGATGTCCCCGGCCTACGACACCAGCGCCACCTAATTGTTTCCCTGGCAGCACAGACCCGCGCTGTCCTAAACCCACTAGTCCCAAACCTGTTTGTTACCCAGGATCACCTGACCCAAGCTGTCCTCAACCACCAAGGCCAACTACCTTAACACCTCCTACATATTTACCACCCTCTACAGCAACACCAAAATGCTACCCAGGCAGCACTGACCCTCGCTGCCCCAAGCCTACTACTCCTGCACCTCCTAACTGTTACCCCGGAAGCAATGATCCTCGTTGCCCTAAACCTACAACTCCGGCCCCTCCCAGGTGCTTCCCAGGAAGTACTGACCCCCGTTGTCCCAAGCCTACTACACCAGCTCCACCAAACTGTTATCCTGGAAGCACTGATCCAAGGTGTCCCAAACCAACTACTCCTGCACCACCAAACTGCTACCCCGGTAGCAATGATCCTCGCTGCCCTAAGCCTACGACTCCTGCCCCTCCTCGTTGCTTCCCAGGCAGCACAGACCCTCGCTGCCCACAGCCAACGACCCCGGCCCCACCTAGGTGCTTCCCTGGCAGCACGGATCCTCGCTGCCCTCAACCTACTACACCAGCCCCACCTAGATGCTACCCTGGCAGCACGGACCCCCGCTGTCCCAAGCCTACAACTCAAGCGCCTCCTAACTGTTACCCTGGTAGCAATGATCCACGATGCCCTAAGCCTACTACCCAGGCGCCTCCAAATTGCTACCCAGGCAACAATGATCCGCGTTGTCCTAGACCCACCACGCCAGCCCCACCTAAATGCTATCCTGACTCGACAGATTCTCGCTGTCCTAAACCAACAACCCCCAAACCGGTTTGTTACCCAGGTTCACCCGACCCTAGCTGTCCTCAACCACCAAGGCCAACTACCTTAACACCTCCTACTTACTTGCCTCCATCCACAGCTACACCAAAATGCTACCCTGGTAGTACTGATCCTCGTTGTCCAAAACCAACGACACCGTCCCAGCCAAACTGCTATCCTGGAAGCTCAGACCCTCGATGCCCCAAACCAACTACTCCGGCTCCACCTAGATGCTTTCCTGGTAGCACAGATCCTCGTTGCCCTCAGCCTACGACACCAGCTCCACCTAGGTGCTTCCCTGGATCTACTGACCCTCGCTGTCCCAAACCAACTACTCCTGCGCCTCCTAACTGCTTCCCTGGTAGTACGGACCCACGTTGCCCCAAACCTACAACGCCCGCGCCTCCTAACTGTTTCCCAGGAAATAATGACCCTCGTTGCCCCAAGCCCACAACTCCCGCGCCTCCTAACTGTTATCCAGGAAACAATGATCCTAGATGTCCCAAACCAACAACCCCCGCACCACCAAGATGTTATCCTGGCAGCACAGATTCCCGCTGCCCAAAACCAACTACTCCAGCTCCACCGAACTGCTATCCTGGAAACACTGACCCCAGATGCCCAAAACCGACAACGCCTGCCCCACCCAATTGTTTCCCAGGAAATAACGACCCACGTTGCCCAAGGCCTACGACACCTGCGCCCCCGAATTGTTTCCCTGGAAGCACAGACCCTCGTTGCCCCAAGCCTACAACTCCTGCTCCACCAAGATGCTACCCAGGCAGCACGGACCCACGTTGTCCAAAACCTACAACTCCTCAGCCGACAAAACTAGTCTGCTACCCAGGATCACCTGATCCCAGCTGTCCCCAACCACCAAGACCCACAACTTTGACTCCTCCCACATACCTACCACCTTCGACAGCTTCACCTAAGTGCTTCCCAGGTAGCACAGATCCTCGCTGTCCAAAGCCTACGACACCAGCACCACCAAATTGCTACCCTGGCAACACAGATCTTCGATGCCCAAAACCAACTACTCCAGCTCCGCCTAGATGCTTCCCTGGCAGCACAGATCCTCGCTGCCCTCAGCCTACCACTCCTGCTCCACCCAGGTGCTTCCCTGGATCTACTGACCCTCGTTGTCCCAAACCAACTACTCCTGCTCCTCCTAACTGTTACCCAGGTAACACCGATCCCCGTTGTCCTAAACCCACTACTCCTTCTGCACCAAACTGTTACCCAGGCAACACTGATCCGCGGTGCCCCAAGCCTACTACTCCTGCGCCTCCTAACTGCTTCCCTGGTAATAACGACCCAAGATGTCCAAAGCCTACCACGCCGGCTGCTCCTAATTGTTACCCAGGCAACACCGATCCTCGTTGCCCCAAACCAACAACCCCCGCACCACCAAGATGTTATCCTGGCAGCACAGATTCACGATGCCCCAAGCCTACTACCCCGGCTCCACCTAAATGCTTCCCTGGGTCAACAGACCCACGTTGTCCTAAACCAACTACTCCTAAACCCGTCTGCTATCCAGGCTCACCCGACCCTAAATGTCCTCAACCACCAAGGCCTACCACATTGACACCTCCAACATATTTGCCACCGTCTACGGCTACACCAAAATGCTTCCCTGGTAGTGCGGACCCACGTTGCCCCAAGCCTACAACGCCCGCGCCTCCTAACTGTTTCCCAGGAAATAATGACCCTCGTTGCCCCAAGCCTACAACTCCAGCTCCCCCTAACTGTTATCCAGGAAACAATGATCCTAGATGTCCAAAACCAACGACACCAGCTCCACCCAGATGCTACCCAGGATCTACTGATCCTCGCTGCCCTAAACCAACAACCCCTGCACCTCCTAACTGCTTCCCCGGTAATAATGATCCTCGGTGCCCCAAGCCCACAACTCCAGCTCCCCCTAACTGTTATCCAGGAAACAATGATCCTAGATGTCCAAAACCAACGACACCAGCTCCACCCAGATGCTACCCAGGATCTACTGATCCTCGCTGCCCTAAACCAACAACCCCTGCACCTCCTAACTGCTTCCCCGGTAATAATGACCCTCGTTGCCCCAAGCCTACAACGCCCGCGCCTCCTAACTGTTATCCAGGAAGCAATGATCCTCGTTGTCCAAAACCAACGACACCAGCTCCACCCAGATGCTACCCAGGATCTACTGATCCTCGCTGCCCCAAACCAACAACTCCTGCACCTCCTAACTGCTTCCCCGGTAATAATGACCCGCGATGCCCCAAACCAACGACTCCAGCACCACCAAGGTGTTATCCAGGATCAACTGACCTACGTTGTCCGAAACCTACAACTCCTCAGCCAACAAAACCAGTCTGCTACCCAGGTTCACCTGACCCGAACTGCCCACAACCTTCAAGACCAACTACATTGACACCTCCCACTTACTTACCACCTGCGTCTCCTGAGCCTAAATGTTACCCTGGCAGCAATGATCCTCGTTGCCCCAAACCCACAACACAAGCTCCTCCTAGATGCTACCCTGGATCTACAGATCCTCGTTGCCCGAAAGTAACTACACAAGCACCACCTAACTGCTACCCAGGAAGCACTGATCCTCGTTGTCCTAAACCAACAACGCAAGCCCCACCTAGATGCTACCCTGGCTCAGACGATCCTCGTTGTCCAAAACCGACAACCCAGGCTCCACCTAACTGCTACCCCGGAAGCAATGACCCACGGTGCCCCCGTCCAACAACCCAGGCACCACCTAACTGTTACCCAGGAAGCACAGATCCTCGTTGTCCAAAACCGACAACCCAGGCTCCACCTAACTGCTACCCCGGTAGCAATGACCCACGGTGCCCCCGGCCAACCACCCAGGCACCACCTAACTGCTACCCAGGAAGCACAGACCCTCGTTGTCCAAAACCGACAACCCAGGCACCACCTAACTGCTACCCTGGCAGCAATGACCCTCGATGCCCCAGGCCTACCACTCAAGCCCTGCCTAGATGCTATCCAGGAAGCACAGATCCTCGTTGTCCTAAACCAACAACGCAAGCCCCACCTAGATGCTACCCTGGTTCAGACGATCCTCGCTGTCCAAAACCGACAACCCAGGCTCCACCTAACTGCTACCCAGGAAGCACAGACCCTCGTTGTCCAAAACCGACAACCCAAGCCCCACCTAACTGCTATCCAGGCAGCAATGACCCTCGCTGCCCCAAGCCCACTACACAAGCCCCGCCTAGATGCTATCCAGGATCAACTGACCCACGTTGTCCTAAACCCACAACACCTCAACCAACTAAACCCGTCTGCTACCCAGGTTCACCTAACCCTAACTGTCCTCAACCATCAAGACCAACTACATTAACTCCTCCCACTTACTTGCCACCTGCGTCTCCTGAGCCTAAATGCTATCCAGGAAGCACAGATCCTCGTTGCCCGAAACCAACTACACAAGCTCCTCCTAGATGCTACCCTGGCTCTAACGATCCTCGCTGTCCAAAACCGACAACCCAGGCCCCACCTAACTGCTACCCTGGCAGCAATGACCCGCGATGCCCCAAGCCTACGACTCAGTCCCCACCTAACTGCTACCCAGGCAGCAATGATCCACGTTGCCCCAGGCCTACCACTCAAGCTCCTCCTAACTGCTACCCCGGCAGCAATGACCCACGATGCCCCAAACCTACCACTCAAGCTCCTCCTAACTGCTACCCAGGCAGTAATGACCCTAGGTGCCCCAGGCCAACAACTCAGGCCCCACCTAACTGCTACCCTGGCAGCAATGACCCACGATGCCCCAGGCCAACCACTCAGGCACCTCCAAGGTGTTACCCTGGCTCCACTGACCCCCGCTGTCCAAAACCGACAACACCCCGACCCACAACACCTAGCTCTTGTTACCCAGGCTCTAAAGACCCTAAATGCCCACAGCCCTACGCTCCTAGCAGTACAAATCCACCTTCCACCTATCTGCCACCGTTCCCCGTTGATAACGAGATAAGGTCGTCTAGAACTGGCAGATTAGCTTCCAATGATGTAGATTTCTATGAAGATGGCGCTCAAACTGACGCAGGTACGTTAAACAAAATATGTTTAACTTAGTTTTTTTAAGTTTGAAACACATATTTTGTTCATTTGCTAGTGTCTTTTACATATGAAATCATACTTAATTATCGCTTTCTTTTTCAGACAACTTTGAATTCGCCAGAACTAAGCCCAGAAGTAGAAAAGCGAGAGATGTCAGTCATCTCAGCAACGACATTGCACAGCCTGCCAGTGGGTCGTCAGTCGTCTACCTGATTGTAGGCTCAGCAGTCTTCATGGTGCTGTCAGTATCCCTTGCCATTTACGCATTCAACAAACGCAGGCATATGTCAGTCAAACCAACTGTCAACGCTCAAACTCTTTGTTAAATATTTGTACAGTAACGTTAAGGTTATGGTTAATATTGTGATATTATAATAATGAACCTTTTATTTGCAATACATGCTTGCAAACTTTTTTGTGAAAAGGTTTACTATCACTGCCTTATTAGCTTTATAAATCCAGGCGCTTTTTATTCGCATGCCTATTTTATATATGTATAAAATAGTGCCATAATATAACTTGATGCAGTCTCGAAATTATATTGATATGTAATTATATTCCCTAGTCAAAATAAATATTTATGTACATATAAACAGAAATGTATAAACCTGTATTCGGTGATTAATATGTATAAATCATACTTGTTTGTGATATTTTTGTAAATATATTTGCCAGTACGCTATGTGGCCATTCAATGACTAGAGTTACTATGTAATGACGTGAATTATATTCGTTTTGTTTTGTTACAATGATATTTTTAAAGATACGTTTTATATTTTAGTATGCCTATCGTGTAGTTACCATACAAAACAGAACGTGTATAATGGGTCACTTTGAATTTTGACTTATGTATGTTAGTAAGATTGCTTGTGGAGTCAATCTAAGTAAAACATTCTATGAATGTCACTCGTTGTTTCATTTATTTCATAAGATAAGTTATTACTTACTACCTAGGTACCTAGTTCATATGATCCCAAATACGTAAAAAAATATTTAAATATTCAGAATTACTGTTCACATTAAAAACATAGTGAACTGCTTATTACACAGATTACCAGATAAATTGATACTTAATACACCTACACATTACACAGGTGATGCTCTACTTCTGGGCTTCGGCTTGACACTATTTTTTGGGACACCCTGTATACATATGTATGTTATACATACATATAGGACCTACACAATATTTTCAGCACTCTATTGCCTTCATGGTACGGTAGTTCAGAATTTTAATCGATTCCTACAATTATTATGTAGAGCGTATTACCACAGAATACATAATAGTAGCAACAGAAATTGCACTCCTTTGTGTAGGATCAGATGCCGGCATTTTAACGGTAATAATAATAATGCAAAATATCCAACGCACATGGTGCATTCGAAATCGCACCTTACTACTACGCTCACAAGAGCGCTATTTTTTTGTGTTCAGAATTGATCTACCTCACAGCTCAAGCGTCAGGGTTGTATAAGCAAAGTAAAAGAAATAAAAACTTAATTTTAAGAAGTATTTATTGTATTTACGATTGGTAAACTTTAATCTAGTGGTGTTTGTATAATCGTATCATCTCTAAAGTACCTATTAATAAACTTCAGTATTACGATAATTCAAAATTGGACAAATAGTTTTAAAAGGTGTAGTGTTGGAAAATAGACACGGTAAAGTAAAAGTTAATATTTTTATTAGGTAAAATTTTTTTTTTCTACATTTTTTTGTCATAAGTATTTCAAAATTATTCAAAAAGTGTAGTTTTTAAATTATTTAAATCACTACAGTTAATTATTATTTCTAAATATTACGATTTTCCATTAAAGAAGAATAACAGTGCTGTTGGAACAATAAACCTTGATTTCAACGATGATCGACCGAGCGTGTATAGAAATACGCGTGTGCTCACAGGCGCGTCACGGCGCGTGGCGGTCCTGACTGATTTGCAACTTGAAGTTGTCGCGCGCTGTAGGTAATTATCTCGGCCGGCATAGGCGAGTGACGGAGGCCTGGTATTACGTAGAATATTGTAGATCTTATTCCTTGATATACAAACAGGGTGGAAACGATAAGTGATCTCACTCGATTGTTTCTCAACTATACACCCTGTATACCCAGTAGTTAATATTTAACAACTGTAATGTACTTAGTTGTTTGTATACCAGTAACAGTAACGTTTTAAGCTTTACGGAATAAATAAAAATCACATTTATAAATTCACCATATTTAATTCACACAAGTAAAAATATTTCTTAAATAATTTTACACAGAAATATTTTACTTATTAATTAAAATAAAGATACAGCAGTTCTTGTCTTAAAATATTATATCTGTACAAAGACTGTATTAACGCTATTTTTACATTATTATTGAAATAGATGCTACTCAAAAGTTACAATAAAAATATTTTCAATAGTTAGTTACAAATTGAAAAACTGTAAAATTAAATCAAATACCTTTAGAAAACTTATATTTCAACTAATGGTCAAGACTTAAGGCAGTTATTACGAGTATAGATCGAAAAACAAACAGTGAAATCAAAACTAACTCCTTAGTTTAGGAAATCAGTGAATTTTCCCAGAAAACTCACGATTTTCACACGTATATTTTTTGTAATTAATTTTCAACATCTCATTTTAAAAAAAAAAACAATATTAACGAATTTATTTGGTATATTACACCACTCTGGCACTACGGAATCATTTATGTCTGTAATGTACATTATATTTATAGGTACCTACCTACGACCATACATCGGAATAGATTAGATAAGTAAATAATAAATAATGTAGTGCTTTTATAGTAAAACATCCCCCATCGGGATTCAATCCCGCGACGCTACAAAGAGCTTTAAATAATTATGAAAACACAAACCCTCTACCTATTCTGACCTGCGGTCATAATATTATTAAAGTTATGAGAATCGTTCAATCAGCTTCAACCGTATCGGGCCGTTGGGTGTGTACATGGGGTGGATGTGGTACTCCAAGGGCTCGTGGTGGTACTCCATCTTGAAGGCCTGTACCATCTGCAGACAAGAAACAGATTTACACGTTATTATGGCAATATAATGAAGATTTAGCAATTCATAAATCTTCTAAATTCAGATAGCAGAATTGCTAAAATCAAGTGGCAGCGGGCGGCGCACATAGCTCGTAGATTAGAAAATGCCCAGAATTCACTGGATCAGTTCAGCGCATAGATGACGTGTAGCGCGATGCTTGCCTGAGTCAAACGCTTTGTTTAACTGACTTTATCGTACGTTATGAACTGTCAAATGATTACGATTGCTTTACACAATTCCACCTTTGATTGTACCGGGAACAAGGTACTAGCATCGCGCTACAGATCATCTATGCGCTGGACTGATCCAGTGAAATCTGGAGTGGGAAACCGAGTCTGACTGCGCGAAGCGTCTGCTACCAGGGAAAGTTGGCGGGAGATCGTGCAGAGATGTATCCCCTACCACCTAGTTAAGTAGACTCCTCAACGTGGTCACCACCGTTCTGGCAAAGAAAGAGGAAAAAGGACAGAGAAGATCATTACCTTGCAAATAATAGTATGTATCTCGAGCTCAGCGAAGCGCCTGCCGAGACACATGCGCTTTCCAAACCCGAACGGCAGCGACGCGAAGGCGCTGTGCGTCTGACCAGGCGTCCGCCGCATCCAGCGCTCCGGCATAAAGTCGGACGCACGGGTGAAGTTCTCCTCGCTGTTGCCCATGACGTAATGTTGAAATATCACTTGGGTCTGGAAGGGATGAAAAAGACTTTATATTCTTTCATTCTTAGCCGTCTGTTATATAAAAATATCGCAAAAGGCGGCTAAAGGACAAATTATGTGAGGGGAGGCGGCCCAACCCGTCTGACCAGGGTAGGGGCGTGGACTTTATTTCTCTTTAATTTACCTCGCTCGTTGCAGGCTTGTTTATCTACAATATAAAACACTAGTATTATATTATCTGTGATAAAACTAATGCATACTGTTAACTAATATGTAAGTATCAGTATAATAACTAGGTATCAAATACTTACGCCTTTTGGTATGTTGTAGCCACAAATAACTGTATCTTTGGTGAGTTGCCGACCATTTCCAATTACAACTGGATACATTCTGGAATTAAGTTCATTCTTAAATTCACTGCCAAACCCCACAATGTGTTATCACATGTTGGATGCATTTAAAAGCATTCATGTTGGATGTTTGTCAATGTATTTACTTACCTTAAAACCTCTTTAACACAAGCCTTCAGGTAAGGCATCTGGTTAATGTCTCCAGGTTTCATGGGCCTGCCCTGCAGAGCCTTGGTGACTTCCTCGTGGATTCTGTCCTGGACTTCCGGCCTTAATGCCAGCTGGTATAACGTTGAAGCCACCGCATTGGATGTCTGGAAATGAATAATGGATTGTTATTAAAATCCTTGAACAATTGAATTATTTAAAAACAATAAATTATGAGGTAAACTATTTTTATCAGTCTCAATGAAATGTACTAAGTTTAATTCTGGCTGGTTTTATGGGTCCCTAATAAAGTTTTTTCTGTATCGATCCTCGAACCTACAATACTCGTATAAAAACTAGTTTTTACCAGTAACTAAACTATGTATGTAATATAACAATGTAGAGATATATTTTCTAAGTCTTAAACAAAAGTCCAGAGCGAGCACTTAATGGTGTAGCTACATCTATTGCAAGTAACATTGACTATGAAAACTTCTACAGGCGCGTGTATCAAGGAACTAATCCTGATAACTTCCCTTATACTTGACTCATTGGATATTTATCATTGGTCTCTAATTGTCACAAGTAACTTTTATGTACGTGTTATAAGAACCTTTAACTTCCAAGTAAGCCACAACACTTCTTATTGGCTAGGTACTTTTTTTTTTTCGTTTTCACCATCAGTCCCTAATTTTTAAGTGACCCCTATGGTAACACATAGCAGGAATTTTGTTTTCATAGGGGTCACTTAAAACTTAGGAACTGATGGTGAAAACGGGCATTAGTGTGTCATTACCGTGTCAATTCCCACAAGGAACATGTCGAGAGCAGCCACGGCAGCCACTTTGGGCCCGGCGGCCGCGACCAGGTCCTGAAGTAAGGACTTGTTGGTGACAGTCTTCAGCTCCTCCAGCGCCCTCTCCACGTGTCTCAGAGTTACACTGGAAAAGAACATGCAAATGCTGATAAAAACACTCTTCTCTCGTCTCTTGCGGCACTGCTTATCTGTCTACATTTAAGATCTTGGTTTCTGAATTACTCTGAAAGATGTTTATAATTTTGAGAAAAAATAGTCATACAGCGACTTGACCCGTGGACTAAGCTATGGGCCAAGTCGCTGGAAGACTCATATGAGGGGTCTATAGCCATCAGTATAATCTCTCAAAGGTTAGGACTAGTGGTGGAAGTGATCAAAGCTTTTTTTTCTATCAGATCTGCAACCATCTGATCTTGTATTTACCAAAATGATTGCTAAGATGTGTTTATGTCAACGTGAAATTATGAACTCTGTCAGTTTATAATATAACGCGTTAGATTGTAAACTAACAGTGGGTTAGGTTAGGTTAGATTGTAATTTAACTACGTCAGATTATAATCTGACAGAATTCACAATTTTACGGTGACATTTATACTCTGAAAGAAGCATCCTGTTAGGACTTTTCTCTAACCAACTGGTGATGGTCTCCAACTGCCACCAATGTTTATGATTTACCTACATGAAATCATGCCAATGCAATAGCTTAGTAGCTTGCATTTATGCCATCGTCTAACAGAGAACTGACGTAAACTAACACCGATTTAAGTCAAATATTTACCTGAGGATGGTGTCCAAAGCAGCGATGTATCTCCTAAACATAGCAGTGGGGTATATCCTCCACCACGGGGCTCTTAGCTCCAGCTCTCCCACGCACAGAAAGAACGTGTTGACAGCATCTATTAACTGCTGACTCTCCGAGCCAGAACGAGCTTCGAAGCAGCCTAGTCTTGTGTCAAGAGCTATTAAGCTTAGAGCTGAAATAATAAAATGGTGTTCTTTTTATTATTTAGGGACCTGGGACAGCCATGAAAGTTTCATTTGGAATATAAGTACCTAATTCAAAAGAGTCTGTTAAAGATAAAGAGACGGGAGAGAGTGTTTCAGCTTTTGAAGAATTATGGTTTTGATAGGCTGACTGACTAAGTACTTGATTGGCCTAATAACTCTAGCGCAGATTAAGTACTAAAGCAAGGAAACAAACAAAGAAAGAAAACATCTTTATTCAGTATCACACATACATAGTTTTCAACAATTTAGAGAATGTATCTACATAATAATATCTACACATAATACTGAAAAGATAAATTCAAACCGCGCGAAAACCAATAGTTAATGACGTGTTAACTCAGTTAAATAATGGTTTGTCAGAAGTAACAACGACTACTTACACTCAAGAGACCATTTGTGAATTTCATTCAAAAAGTCGTCTGGAGTTTCCAAATTTTTGTTTCTAATTTTTCGTACTCTGAAACGTAAACGTCAAATATGAAGAAAGGAAATAACTCCAAATACTTTATAAATAATCGTTTTAAATCGAAGATATACCTATCGATAAAGGCATCTGCCACCTGTGCCACAGGTTCTGTGTACTGTGCTGCTGCCACTGTGCTCAGCGCCACTCGGGATACTTTAGTTCTGAACGCTGACCAGGAGTCACCGTGTCTGGAATTTGAAGTAATTCATCGGTTGTGTTTTCATTGTTATTAACCGACTTCAAAAAAGAAGGAGGTTCTCAATTCGACTGTATGTTTTTTATACAGGGTGACTTTGTAATCAGTATCAATTTTTTTTTAATTAGCTCTATAGACCAATTTAACAATACAACTTTATCTTAATTGTTTTTAATCGTGATATCTTTCGCGAAAAAAATATTTAAAATCTAATTCGCCCATTAGATTTTCAATAACTTTCCCATATTGTCTTAATTTTTAAAGGTTATTTTCGCGCACCATTGTATCTGTTAAGCTTTGCAGTTAACTGTGTGTACGTATTTTTCTATGAACGAAGTAAATTATCCACGTGTGCCCATTTTCTTTTAAACTTACACCGCTATAACGCCTGCGCAATTCTCTTCGGCACCAAAGAAATCCTTCCTCAAGACGTGTTTGTAGTAGTTCAGAGACGGCATTGATGGTCTACAAATGAAAAAGAAAATTGAATTACTTACTAACTATAAATCATGACTAATAAGGAAATTAGCTAATATATTATTATAAAAATAATAAGTATAAGTTACTCATCATCATCATAATTCTACTGCTGAACATAGAACGTCCCCTAATGATTTCCGTATTGAACGGTTGGTAAGTGCCTTCCAGCTACCTTCATGATGTTGTGATTTCGTTCGTTCCTTGCCTGCTTTTTTGCAGAGCACATAGTTCAGACAACTGATGGCTATAACTGTTGGGCAGAAAAATCCTCCCACTCGGTGGACTGACAATATGATGTAGGTCACGTGAAGCACCTGAAAGCGGGCTGTGCAGGACCGGTCGTTGTGGAATATGTTCAGCAAGGAGATTTTGTCCAGTATAGAAGACATCAATTGGTTATTGGGGTTCTTAGTTGAAACTATTGTTACCTGTGTGGGGCTGCATCCTCTCCCCTGAAGACCCTCTCCACCTCTCCCGCGTCGAACACAAACAGCATGTCAGGCCGGCCTAACAGGCCAGCCACCTTCACGCACTTGCCGTACTGCTCCCGCAACGATAGGCACACCTTGTCGATGTGTTCTACGGAGTAGTTACCTGGAAATTAAAACGGAGACGATTAGATTACTTTTTAAAGGCGGTGTTTTTAAAGTTATTTCTTTATCAGGTCCAAAAACAATGAAAATTACTTAAAAATTGTATACGCTCGTTAAACTGTTTGATCTGATCGTATCTACAACTTGCAAAAGTCAACTTGGTCTTGGTAACTGAAAGAAATCATCATCATCATTTCATTCATGGGCCGTCCACTGCTGAACATTGGCCTCCCCCAATGCTTTCCACGTTGATCTACTTATTGGTAGCGGCCTGCGTCCAGCGCTTCCCTGCTACCTTTACGATGTCGTCGGTCCACCTTGTAGGTGGACTGAAAGAAATGCGCTATCCAGACTCTAACCCTCAACGTAAGTCGCTTTAATTGGGTTGTATTTAGCCCGCATTGGGCAAATGACAATATATGCTTTACTGCATAGTAAACAAATTGTAAGTAATATCGTTGGGCGTAATCTGACCCGGTTTTCTTTTTTATCTTGATGTGCCTAAACCTCATACGATTTATCATTTAAAATGTGGCTTACAAAGTACCTTGGAGTACCGACGCTGTGCGTTCAATTTGCTGCTTCACTTAAGCAAACATCATTTATGAATCAAGCGTAAATCTAATTAAACCTAAATAGGCAAAGAATTTTCGAAACCGGCGCCTACTCAAATGCCTCTGGGCTCTGCCTATCTTGCCATCTCGAAGGTAAACAAGCTAAACACTGTGGCATCTTACGTAGTGGTAATAAGGCATAATTTGGAACGAAAATGTATAGTCTAATGTGCTGTTTGCACTAGGCCGCTTTCATCGGTCACGACACGACACCATGATCTTTCCTATGAAAGTGAGAGGTAGTTTGTGGTCCCTTGATGAGGGATAAGGGTTATAATGCTGTAGACATAGTCAGAGTATCAAAATACATAGGCTGTTAAACTCATTACCACTCCTTTGCGTCGCGTAATCGGGTAAATAGGTATCAAATAAGTGAACTGAAAGTGTGAACCTTCACAGGATGATTTTTTGACAGTACTAATCTCGTTTCAAAAAAGTTAGTTAGATGCCACCCGTATTAAGAAGTGACTTTCACTGGGCATCAATAAATGCCTTCCGTACAGAATAGTGTGATGATTTAATTTTCAGTTACACCATTTATAACTCGAGAACGACTGGACCGATTTCAATGATCTCCGATTTGTTAAATTCAAAAGATACTCGTATTCACAATCCGGATCTTACTTCTCATTTCTAAATTCCAAAATCGCTTACGCAATAATGATATTAGATGGTTGAATGTCACGCATAACTCAAAAACCAAGATCGAAACAGCTGGCAAAAGCTTTACATTCTTATCAGAAAGCAACAAGGTACAAAGTCCTTTGAATCTGTAATCTGAGCTTCTATTTCAAAATGAAAGGCATCGCATAATTTGCTGATTTTTTGTGACCTTACATCATCACACAAATAGTATCACAGGTGAAATACGATTTTAATGATTAAAATAAATATAAGTAACGTAAATGCGCCTATTACCGCCAGTTTAAGCTGACTTCGGATAAACGTTAGAAAATTAGATATAAGACGTGGTAATAGAAAATACATTTTAATTTATTCATAACAATGATGAAGTAATCTTTGAATTCAGGTAGTAACAATGAGTATTCAATCACACAATAATTAATAAATAGCATTTTAATCTGAAAAAGCAGTTGTTTCTATTACCGACCTATAGGCGAGGTGTGTTTCTATTAACGTTTTTTCTGTTTCTATTACCGACCGCTAAGAATATTGCTCTTCAATTGGATATATTCCAAGAGGCACGGGTTTGATTCCTACTATACCCACTTGATTTTTTCAAGTTAAATTCGTTTTGCTTTTAGTTTTTGTTATTTGTTTTTTTTTCAAGGTATATTTTTNAAATTAAATATTCAGAATTACTGTTCACATTAAAAACATAGTGAACTGCTTATTACACAATTACCAGATAGTTGATACTTAATACACCTACACATTACACAGGTGATGCTCCACTTCTGGGCTTCGGTTTGACACTATTTTTTGGGACACCCTGTATAATACATAATAGGACCTAGACAATATTTTTACCACACTCTATTACCTTTATGGTACAGTAGTTCAGAATTTTAATCGATTCCTACAATTATCTATGGCTAGAAATACGTAGAATATTGTAGATTTTCAGTAGTTAATATTTAACAACTGTAATGTACTGAGTTGTTTGTATACCAGTAACATAGTAACGTTTTAAGTTTTACGGAATAAATAAAAATCACCTTTATAAAATACACCATATTTAATTCACACAAGTAAAAATATTTCTGAAATAATTTTACACAGAAATATTTTACTTATTCATTAAAATAAAGATAGGTACCTCTGCAGTTCTTGTCTCAAAATATGATATCTTGTACAAAGACTGTATTAACGCTATTTTTACATTATTATTGAAATATGTAGTTGGTATTCAAAAGTTACAGTAAAATTATTTTTAGTAACTAATTAGGTACAAGTTGAAAAACTGTAAATATATTAAATCAGATACTTTTAGAAAACTTATATTTCAACTAATTAATTAATTATACTAAAGTACAATGGTAGAGGCATAGATTCAAAAACAAATAGTCAAATAAAAACTAACTCCTTAATCGGAAATCAGTGAATTTTCCCAAAAAAACACAAGATTTTCACACGTTAAATTTTTTGTAATTAAAATTTAACAACATCTCATTTTAAGAAAAAAAAATATTAACCATGTCACTGAACTCGGTAATTTAACACCACTCTGGCACTACGAAATCATTCATGTCTGTAATGTACATTATATTTATAGGTACCTACGACCATACATCGGAATAGATAGATAAGTAAATATTAAATAATGTAGAGCTTTTATAGTAAAACATCCCCCATCGGGATTCAAACCCGCGACTAAGCTACAAAGAGCTTTAAATAATTATGAAAACACAAACCCTCTACCTATTCTGACCTGCGGTCATAATATTGTTAAAGTTATGAGTAATTAATTTTATCGTTCAATCAGCTTCAACCGTATCGGGCCGTTGGGTGTGTACATGGGGTGGATGTGGTACTCCAGGGGCTCGTGGTGGTACTCCATCTTGAAGGCTTGCACCATCTGCAGACAAGAAACAGAATTACAAATTATTATGGCAATATAATGAAGAAGGGGGAGGCCTTTGTCCAGCAGTGAACGTCTTTCGGCTGAAACGAACGAACGAACGAATGAAGAATGAAATAACAATTAGAGCATCAAAGTTTAAGAGTCATTCATAAGGAGCTCGGTATTACTCAGCGTTTGACCGCCGCTGTACATTTGCGCATACTACAATACTTAGACGTTTGCCTCAACTCCATAGGGCAACTGGTCGTACCGGGAACAAGGTACTAGCATCGCGCTACAGGTCATCTATGCGCTGGACTGATCCAGTGAAATCCAAGCGTCTGCCACCAGGAGAGATGGCAGGAGATCGTGCAGAGCTGTAGCCGCCTCTACCATCTACTAAAGAAGACGCCTCAACGTGGTCACCACCGTTCTGGCAAAGAAAGAGGAAAAAGGACAGAGAAGAAGACCCTTACCTTGCAAATAATAGTATGTATCTCCAACTCAGCGAAGCGCCTGCCGAGACACATGCGCTTTCCAAACCCGAACGGCAGCGACGCGAAGGCGCTGTGCGGCAGACCAGGCGTCCGCCGCAGCCAGCGCTCCGGTATGAAGTCGGACGCATGGGTGAAGTTGTGACTTGATTGAATTAATGGTTGTTGCCATCAACTACCCTTACCTTACGCTTGTAATCCCCATTTTTGTTTACACAACAGAGAGAGACGTGGACAATATATGAATAAGTAAGAAAAAAGAACAAGAGTTCAGAACCAATGTGTCCATACTCCAGAAGCTAGCCATCACGCAGCATTTGTCAGCTGCAGAATAGACTGATCCAGTGAAATCCGGAGAAATGGCGGGAGATCGTGCAAAGCTGTATCCGCCTCTACCGTCTACTTTAGTAGACGCCTCGACGTTATCACCACCGTTCTGGCAAAGAAAGAGAAAAAAGGACAGAGAAGAAGACTCTTATCTTGCAAATAATAGTATGTATGTATCTCGAGCTCAGCGAAGTGCCTGCCGAGACACATGCGCTTTCCGAACCCGAACGCGCGTCTGACCAGGCGTCCGCCGCAGCCAGCACTCCGGCATGAAGCTTACCTTACCTTACGCTTGTATTCCCCATTTTTCTTTACGCAACAGAGAGAGACGTGGACAATACACGAAAAAGAAAGATACTTAGATGGACGGAGTTCCAAACCAATGTGTCCATACTCCAGGAGCTCGGCATCACACAGCGTTTATCATCTGAACAGTCATAGACTGATCCACTGAAATCCGGAGTGGGAAACCGAGTCTGACTGCGCGAAGCGTCTGCTACCAGGGAAAGTTGGCGGGAGATCGTGCAGAGATGTATCCTCTACCACCTAGTTAAGTAGACTCCTCAACGTGGTCACCACCGTTCTGGCAAAGAAAGAGGAAAAAGGACAGAGAAGATCATTACCTTGCATATAATAGTATGTATCTCGAGCTCAGCGAAGCGCCTGCCGAGACACATGCGCTTCCCAAACCCGAACGGCAGCGACGCGAAGGCGCTGTGCGTCTGACCAGGCGTCCGCCGCATCCAGCGCTCGGGCATGAAATCGGACGCGCGGGTGAAGTTCTCGTCGCTGTTGCCCATGACGTAGTGTTGGAATATCACTTGGGTCTGGAACGGATGAAAAAGACTTTATATTCTTTCATTTTTAGCTGTCTGTTATATAAAAATATCGCAAAAGGCGGCTAAAGGACAAATTATGTGAGGGGAGGTGGCCCAACCCGTCTGACCAGGGTAGGGGCGTGGACTTTATTTCTCTTTAATTTACCTCGCTCGTTGCAGGCTTGTTTATCTACAATATAAAACTAATGCATACTGTTAACTAATATGTAAGTATCAGGATAATAACTAGGTATCAAATACTTACGCCTTTTGGTATGTTGTAGCCACAAATAACTGTATCTTTGGTGAGTTGCCGACCATTTCCAATTACAACTGGATACATTCTGAAATTAAGAGTAGTTTTAAACTTTACATGACTACATTGTGAAATTTTTAAGATTGATAGAGATTATGTAGAGAGAGAAAGATAAATTATATAGATGCTGTAGTTACGATGTTTATCACATAAGCAGCGCCTAAAAATCATTGCCAAAGACACCCATGAGTGTGTCTTGCTCGATCAACATTCATACTTCAATCTTTATTTCTAGAACCTTTGATTTTGCTTGGGTCTATGGTGAAGGAAGTTGGTTTATTTATTATCTACCTTAAAACCTCTTTAACACAAGCCTTCAGGTAAGGCATCTGGTTAATGTCTCCAGGTTTCATGGGCCTGCCCTGCAGAGCCTTGGTGACTTCCTCGTGGATTCTGTCCTGGACTTCCGGCCTTAATGCCAGCTGGTATAACGTTGAAGCCACCGCATTGGATGTCTGGAAATGAATAATGGATTGTTATTAAAATCCTTGAACAATTTAATTATTTAAAAACAATAAATTATGAGGTAAACTATTTTTATCATTCTCAATGAAATGTACTAAGTTTAATTCTGGCTGGTTTTATGGGTCCCTCAATAAAGTTTTTTCTGTATCGATCCTCGAACCTACACTAGTTTTTACCAGTAACTAAACTATGTATGTAATATAACAATGTAGAGATATATTTTCTAAGTCTTAAACAAAAGTCCAGCGCAAACACTTTTAATGGTGTAGCTACATCTATTGCAAGTAACATTGACTATGAAAAATTCTACAGGCGCGTGTATCAAGGAACTAATCCTAATAACTTCCCTTATACTTGACTCATTGGATATTTATCATTGGTCTCTAATTGTCACAAGTAACTTTTATGTACGTGTTATAAGAACCTTTAACTTCCAAGTAAGCCACAACACTTCTAATTGGGTAGGTACTTTATTCGTCTTATGCCCGTTTTCACCATCAGTCCCTAATTTTCAAGTGACCCCTATGGTAACACATAGCAGGAATTTTGTTTTCATAGGGGTCACTTAAAACTTAGGAACTGATGGTGAAAACGGGCATTAGTGTGTCATTACCGTGTCAATTCCTACAAGGAACATGTCGAGAGCAGCCACGGCAGCCACCTTGGGCCCGGCGGCCGCGACCAGGTCCTGAAGTAAGGACTTGTTGGTGACAGTCTTCAGCTCCTCCAGCGCCCTCTCCACGTGTCTCAGAGTTACACTGGAAAAGAACATGCAAATGCTGATAAAACACTCACTCTCTCACTCTTGGATTCTGAAATTACTCTGAAAGATGTTTATAATTTTGAGCGACTTGACCCGTGGACTAAGCTATGCGCCAAGTCGCTGGAAAACTCATATGAGGGTCTATAGCCATCAGTATAATCTCTCAAAGGATTTGACTAGTGGTCAGCCCTGGATCTGTCAATACGCCGTATAGGCCGCAGCCTAGGGGCGGCAGCGTCCTAGGGGCGGCAGATTTCAGATGACGCTTACTCGATTTCAGAAGATAAAAGTTAAATAAAGATCCAACCCCACCCTAGCCTACGGGCGGCAAAACTGTAAATCCGCCACTGCTATAGTGGTGGAAGTTCTATTTTCTTCTAGATCTGCAACAATCTGATCTTTTATTTACCTAAATGATTGCTAAGATGGGTTTATATTCTGAAAGAAGCATCCTGTTAGGACTTTTCTCTAACCACCCGGTGATGGTCTCCAACTGCCACCAATGTTTATGATTTACCTACATGAAATCATGCCAATGCAATAGCTTAGTAGCTTGCATTTATGCCATCGTCTAGCAGAGAACTGACGTAAACTAACACCAATTTAAGTCAAATATTTACCTGAGGATGGTGTCCAAAGCAGCGATGTATCTCCTAAACATAGCAGTGGGGTATATCCTCCACCACGGGGCTCTTAGCTCCAGCTCTCCCACGCACAGAAAGAACGTGTTGACAGCATCTATTAACTGCTGACTCTCCGAGCCAGAACGAGCTTCGAAGCAGCCTAGTCTTGTGTCAAGAGCTATTAAGCTTAGAGCTGAAATAATAAAATGGTGTTTTTTTATTATTTAGGGACCTGGGACAGCCATGAAAGTTTCATTTGGAATATAAGTACCTAATTCAAAAGAGTCTGATAAAGATAAAGAGACGGGGGAGAGTGTTTCAGCTTTTGAAGAGTTATGGTTTTAATAGGCTGGCTGACTACTTGATTCGCCTAATAACTCTAGAAGCAGATTAAGTACTAGAAGAAAGGAAATAAATAAAGAAAGAAAACATGTTTATTCAGTATCACACATACATAGTAGTTTAGAACAATCTAGAGAAATAATACCTACATAAACATGCTACTGAAAAGATTCATATCGGGCGAAAACCAATAGTTAAAGTTTAATAGTTGCTGTTAACTATAATGATTTGTGTCATGACCACAAAAGTCGACTACTTACACTCTAGAGACCATTTGTGAATTTCATTCAAAAAGTCGTCTGGAGTTTCCAAATTTTTGTTTCTAATTTTTCGTATCCTGAAATGTAAATTATTTATTTACAAGAGTTTAACCAATGATACTCGTATTTATATTCACAAGTAGTGTAAACCAAAGATATGTATCCATACCTATCGATAAAAGCATCTGCCACCTGTGCCACAGGTTCTGTGTACTGTGCTGCTGCCACTGTGCTAAGCGCCACTCGGGACACTTTAGTTCTGAACGCTGACCAGGAGTCACCATGTCTGAAATTTGAAGTAATTCATCGGTTTTGTCTTCATTGTTAATATTATTCACTAGCCGCCGCCGCGACTTCGTACGCGTGTATCCCGTTTTATCACCTTAGTGGTTGAATTTTGCAAAATCGCGTCTCAGTGAGCACCTACGTTCTAAAAGGAACACACTTGTAGTTTCTGAGATTTTGTGAAGAGTGAGTGAGTCAGTCAGTCAATCAGTGACCTTTCGCTTTTATAGATATAGATTAGATATATTATTGTTCAAAACTTACACCGCTATAACGCCTGCGCAATTCTCTTCGGCACCAAAGAAATCCCTCCTCAAGACGTGTTTGTAGTAGTTCAGAGACGGCATTGATGGTCTGAAAGTTAAAATTGTTAAAATGTTAGTCAACTGTTTTGATTATAACAACAAAATGAAACGTAATTAATAATTGTACCTAGTAGTTTACTTACTTTAAGAATAATATTATTATCCTACCAGTACCTAACACAAACATTTGGGTGGAAGAAAAAATTTAAATAATAGTATTTTGTGGAAAAAACTAAGAAGACGTAGGTAGTGTATGCAGGCCTCCCACTCGATGACGATCTAGTGAAGGTCGCGGGAAGCACCTGGATGCGGGCACCGTAGGACCGTCGTTGGTTTTGGAATCTTTGCGAGAGTCATTTGTCCAATAGTGGACGTCCTTTGGTTATAGTATCTTAGTATCTTAATATGTAAGTCTAGATATTAGCACGTCACTACCTTGTTTAATATACCACGCAATCTTGTATACCCATTCTTATAAGATACACCATACAAGAATGCATGGTAAATTCAGTGAACTGCTCCTGAATCGAATGTACCTACTACTACTATTTCTATTTATTTATATTAACCGGCAGACAGTGGTGACTGAGTTTGTTGCGGCGCTTCTTCTCAGCACTTGCCAAATGTTGGTCTCGAAGCGCTGGTAGGGTAAAAAGATTATGAGACATGTAGAGGCTCCTTAAGAGCAAAATGACGATTTGTAAGAACTATTTATTAGTCCCCCCAAGGATTTCCACAAAGACCGGTCCTGCGCCGCTTGCATCCAGGTACTTCCCGCGACCTTCACCAGATCGTCGGTCCACCTAGTGGGAGGCCTGCCCACGCTACGTCTTCCAGCTCGTGGTCGCCACTCAAGAACTTTTCTGCCCCAGCGGCCATCATCTCTTCGAGCTATGTGCCCCGCCCACTGCCACTTGATTTTAGCGATTCTGCGGGCTATGTCGAATCCAACTCGGCTGGGCAGCGTTCGGGAAGCTTCGCGAAATTCTCACGTCCGAAATACCGCAGTGTCTCAAGTCAAAAGTATTTGACCAGTGTGTGTTGCCAGTGATGGTGTATGGCTCTGAGACGTGGTCGCTTACTATGGGCCTCATAAGAAGGCTCAAGGTCACCCAAAGAGCGATCGAGCGTGCTATGCTCGGAGTTTCCCTGCGTGATCGAATCAGAAATGAGGAGATCCGTAGGAGAACCAGAGTGACTAACATTTAACTTGTACAACAACATTAATAAAATAAATTGTTTCGCTCTTACTGATTTCTTGTTTATTTGCTATCAAATGCATGAATACTAAAAATATTTCAATTCCAATTTACTTTTGTTACAATAAATAATAAATACAATAAAATCATTTAAATTTTCTTTGCAACTTAATTTATTGTATCTTAATACGTGTTCTTGCTGGTTGTCCTAACAAATAAAATAAAAATAAATAAAGGGTAGACTTAGGCTGAGTTGCAACACCTAACTTTAACAGTAAATATAACGTTAACCGGTGTTTTTTGTATGGAGTTTGACAGACTTTTGACGTTTGTCAGTTAGAGTAAGATGGTGTAACCTACCCTTAGATTTCAATCTATGAATCAAGATTTAACATAGTTTTTGCCAGAAAAGACGGAAGCCAAGGTAATTCAACGGAAATTGCTTATAGCTTTCCCTACATCAATGTCATTATACAGCTGCAACATAAGAGTCATTATGGCAGTGATTTCCTGCAAAACCTTTTCTAACTCATCGCATAGTTTGTGGCTTTCTATCTTTTTTATCTTGGAATCAAATAAAATACATATGTACTCTACTAGATACTTTTAAACTATTTTAAACCACCGATATTTTTCATGTTCAGCTAATAAGTGATAATGTCTCTAATTAATAGTTCGCTGTTTGGTTATTTTGCGACAATACATCATACTCAACCGCCTCTGTGGTCTAGTGGTAAGACCACCTGCTTCAGACGCAGAGGTTCCGGGTTCGATTCCCAGTGGGGGCAGATGTTTCTGTTCGGTTTGGTTGGTGGTAGGGCTTGTTCTAAGTCCGCCTGGCTAGCTACCACCATCTTACCTAAGTCTGTCGCCATAACAACAATGTTAACAGCATTATAATAATTGTGTTCCGGCAGTTAGAGGTAAGATAGCCAGTACCTCCGTTGAGGATTCCGGGTGAAGCTCGCTTCCACCTTCGGCCTGATCGTCACTTACCATCAGGTGAGATACAGGCCAAGAGCTTCCTCGTTGTGGATAAAAAAAAACTTTCAAAATTGTAGAACTACATTGCGTCGAAAATTTTGTTCATCACCGGTTATTACTGCATCTTCGTATGTGCTTGCGCACATAACATACCTACTACATCGTTAACATAGACGTTCCAATTATCATTATTTCTCGTTTTTTATCTACACTCTAAATTACACACGACAACGCACGTAACTGCATTTAAACAAATGTTATAATATGGCACTACTTTTATTTGCTCTTAGCAAAACGTCATTATGCGGCAGGCGCTAGTTCTGTTTCTGTATGGAAAACATGGGCATCATAGCATCTAGATAAAGAACTATAGTGTTCATTTGAAGGTGTTAATTTGGGAGAATTATAGTATTAGTATGGTATATCATACATATAAGATAGGTATTAAAGTGCTACAGTCTGGGAACGTTTTGTCCCATTGTTCTTTAAGCCATACGTTACTAATACTAAATTACCCCCAGTACAAGCAGACCCAGTTTTCGGCGTTGCGTGTGTTTACTCGGGCGATGCGCGCACGCAACACGTTTCCTAGTGACGTAACGCTGCAGTGGCGGTGCATGCGGTGGCAATGACGGAAGAAAATGTCGGACATTTTCTTTCTTTTTAATTTGATTTGGGACGTGTCGGACGTCTTTACATGTAAAGTGTGACAGTTGGGAATTAGAATACGAAAAGGAGCAAATACTACATATTTTACAAATCTATTTTTCCGTCAGGAAACGATTTATCAACACATAAGAAGTTGCGAATAAGGCTGATTCTTATAAAAGACTTAACAATCGTATAAACGATTGTTAAGCTTATTCTAATTTTACAGCGTTCACAGACTGGCTCTATTATTACTTACTCTCTATGAATGCATTTTATGAGTTCTTATCTTAAAACTAAGTTAAGTACCTACTTTCAGTTTTTTTAACCATAACCTCAATTTTAAGACTTGAAAATGATGGTCACCCTGCAAACCACTACATACTTGCAGTTCGTTAGGAAATCGATCAAATGGGTTTCCTACAGGCGTGTTTCCTTTTAAATGATAGTTTTGCTAATTGCCTTCGATACAACGAGTACCTATTAACGATATCGTGCAAATTAATAACATAAACACTGGATTTTAGATATACGTAATATAATGCTGACATAAGCCTGTTTATTTATTACTTCAAGCCTCATTGATAAAGGAAGAATAAAATTTAAAAATTACATACTTATGATAAGGGCATCGGTCCATCAGGTATCAGATCCGCTTGGCCAGCCGGTGAGCCTTCAAGGTTATTCGGCCAGTCACCGGTAGTGTGACTTCCGCCATTCATATGAGTTTTTACTGTTACGGGAGTTTTTTGCAATAAATAACTCTTCTCCTTTATTGAAACAATCTTTATATTCAGTGCCGTATTATCCATAAGGCACTTTAGGCCAGTGCCTAGGGGCCCACTATGACCAGGGGCCCAGAACTCCCGATAAAAAAATGAAAAAAAATAATGTTAAAGATTATTTTTATGCAACAAAACTCAAACCACCTCAAGACTTCGCCTTATTTTGGTTTACACATTCAATTGTCATTTATTTCGATACTAGCTGACCCGGCGAACTTTGTTCCGCCTTAATGGCAATAAATAACGGGATAAAAAGTATCCTATGTCCTTCTCATGGCTCTAAACTACCTCCCTGACAATTTTCAGCTAAATCGGTTCAGCCGTTCTTGAGTTATAAGCGAAGTAACTAACACGATTTTCTTTTATATACTTACTAGCTGACCCGGCGAACTTTGTTCCGCCTTAATGGCAATAAATTAGCAGACTTTTTTTTTATTTCGAACGGGATAAAAAGTATCCTATGTCCTTCTCCTGGCTCTAAACTACCTCCCTGACAATTTTCAGCTAAATCGGTTTAGCCGTTCTTGAGTTATAAGTGGAGTAACTAACACGACTTTCTTTTATATATATATAGATATAGATTGTAGAACCAAATTCATTTTCGTAACGTTGGCATTACTGTTTTGGTTTACCTACATGAAATATATTTTCAAAATAACTATCAGGAGGTGATTAGTGATCGATACTGATGCCAAAAATGCAATCAGTAAAATTTTTGTCTGTCTGTCTGTCTGTCTGTCCGTCTGTATGTTCCATAGAAATAAAAACTACTCGACGGATTTTAACGAAACTTGGTACAATTATTTTTGATACTCCTGGGCAGGTATACTTAGGAATTCCCACGGGAACAGGAATTAGCGGGAAAATCCTTTTGTATAAAAAATCTAAACCGCTTAAGTTAGACGCTTGAAATTTGGCATGTAGGTACCTTAGTAAACTAAAAGCTTAGTTACAACAAGTAATTCCCGAAATTCCCACGGGAACGGGAATGAGCGGGAAAATCCTTTTGTATGAAAAATCTAAACTGCTTAAGTTAGACGCTTGAAATTTGGTATGTAGGTACCTTAGTAAACTTAAAGCTTAGTTACCTCAAGGAATTCCCGAATTTCCCACGGGAACGGGAATTCGCGGAAAAATCCTTTTGTATGAAAAATCTAAACCGCTTAAGTTACACGCTTGAAATTTGTCATGCAGGTACCTTAGTAAACTTGTCACCTTCGTCTGACAGGAACGGCTAATTCCCGTCGGCCCCCCACCCGCAAGGGGGGCGTGTAGGGTCCGCCGTGTAGGCGGGCCGTCGCCGGTGGTGTCGCGGAAGTTTAAGGCTACGGCCAGATACTCGCTACACCCCCACTTGGGCGATGACGGAACGCCGCGGAGGTTTTAGTGGGTATACCGCGTCCTTTTCAGGACGGAGCAGCGTCCTTTTTAGGGCGCCGGGAGTTCCTCACACCACCCTATCCCACGGCAGTGGTGAGGTGGTGATGGTGCGCAAAGCATTGCCTCCGCGACAAAAAAAGGGGGGCCCGAAACGAGCTGTGCCTAGGGGCCCCGAGATGGTTAATCCGGCCCTGTTTATA